CACCACAAGGCAATATGAGAAGTAAGTTCTGATTGTGGAATCTCTGAATTTTGAGATTTAAAGAAAAAAATCTGTTTTCAGGGGCTGGTTAAAACAGTTCTACCAAGGAGTAAAGAGAGCGCATCTCAAGGCCCCTTCTGGACTTAGAATTTAATGCCTACTTATTGAGAAACGCTCCGTGCATTTGCTCAGTCCTACGTCAAGATGAAGTTCTCTGTGCCCTAGAAACTTAGGTTCTAAAAAGGTCACAGAAATGGGTGAGACCTAAAAAATGCCAGAACAATTCAACAGCCTTAACCAGACTGTCTTTGCTTTGCCTTGCTTACAAGTCACTGACCTTAAACTGAATATGGTGTCATGTCTTTATTTTTCTTGAAGTTTTTTTTTTTTAAAGATCATATAAAGATTTTCTTCCATGGTTAAGACTTTCATATTGTATTTTTCTTAAAATGGAGTGTGGTACATAAACCCTCCATCAAATGATTGTTTATAACTCACCTTGCTTTATTAAGAATACCGCTAGAGGTTTCTATGTACCTAGTAATAAAAATGCATTTTCAGGATCATTCAAACCAATGAAAATCCAAGTTTGCAGAGCACAAGATAATGAAAATTCTCTCGACCAGCATCTTTTACTACTTTTAATCTGTTAACAGACCCTAAGTGTCTCAGATGAAAGGTACTGTAGCGGGAATTGACATCGTTAACAGCATTCCATACAGGTAAGTCATGATTGTTCCAATTTCTCAAAAATTTGGACACTTTGACTGCCTCTATAACATCTCTAGGGTGTGTGAAAGAAAAAAAAAGAGGGCTGTACAATGTATTTCTCAAAATATACACAGAAATAGTTTGCACATACAAACAGGGAAACCTTATAAATAATGTATAGGGAGCAATGTAATGTCGATAACGGAACTACTCATTTCGAAAGACAACACTGTCATCAAGTGTCCCCTCACCAAAACTGACTGGGAATTTTTAGGGGCTGCCAAACCAGAGGTGGAGATTTATAGGAACCTGGGATGTTTGAAAAATGGTTTTGGACAACCTCCTCGAGGAAGGCACCAAGCGCCATCCCAAATTGCAAAAATGGCTCCAGGTTGACTCCTTGTATCCTCACTCTTTGCAATTTGACATTCCAACTTCTCCCATCAAGAGGTAGTGTTGATTTCCCCACCCTTGAAGTTAGGTGACTTGCCATGGCCAATAGAAGGCAGCAGAAACAATGGTGTGCCAGCTCAGAGCTAGGTCCCATGATGCTTCTACTCTCCCTCTCAGAGCCCTGCTACCCCCACGAGCACAAGCCCCAGTTACTAGCTGGGGCATAAGAGGTATGTGGCCCAGTCAGGCCCCCAGCCCGGCTACAGCCAGCCCCCAGCTGACCCCACAGGTGTAGCAGCAATTCCAGCCATGATAAGCAGGGTTGTGATGAAGAATTAAGAGCATAAGTGTATTCTATAATTTATAAACCACTCTGTCAACCTACGACATTATTTTTCAAAAGCATTTTTGTTATTTTGAATCCCTACGTGGACATATTGAAAACAGCACTGCAATGATTGTTGGAGAGCAAAGGATGCAACCTGAAATAGAGAGTAAAATATATTAGTTTATCCAGATTCACGTATTTGTATAAATTACTAGAAAATCATCTGAAGAAAAACAGACATGAATGAAGAAAACAGTCCAAAGAACACGGGTGAAGAAAGATGTCTATTTAACACCATCTAGTACATCAAAACATGTAATGGAAAGTATATGTTTGGTTCTCTATATAATGCTGTATAATTTTCATCACAAAGGCATTATTGATTTGTACATACTTGGAAGAAAACAAAGCATTAAGATTATCTGCTGGTGTGAAGACTGGCCCATATACACAAAGGGCAACGAGAGACTGAAGAAAGAGGCAGCCTGCCCAGACTAGTCAGTGGCAGTTTTAACAAGCAAGGGAACCTGCTTACAAGGCTTGCCTTGGTCAGCTGAAAGACGAATAGATATCAGCACCCACCCGCCAGAATCTTGAGTTTACACAGCGACCTTAACAGGGTTCAGTCACGTATACTGTCCACATGGTCTCAAGAACACATTACTCTCTCAAGGCTGAGTTTTTGAAAATGGTTCCCGCTGTGGGAACGGTGGGCAGAATGTATATTCCATGGTCAGGGGAGGGGGTTATGCCCTCTCAATGGTCTCCTCTGACATTTCAACAAGGAAGGATGCCAGAGAAGAAAGCCTAGGGCAGAAACCACTCAACTTGTTATCACGAATACCAGGGGAACCCAAGCAAGTGGATATACAAGCCTGCGTAGGCCTTGGAAGTAGGAAGCATTTGGGGACTACACCTGGGCTGGTACTGGCCTCCCTCCCCCAAAGGGACAAGGACAGCAGAAACCTGGATGGAGTCAAGAGACAGAACAAAGAAAGGCAAGGCTGGATATGGAGCAACGTGTGGATCCAGGAGCATGTGTCTCAGAACTGCCGGGGCTCTGCAGACCAGCTGCATCCCCATTCTCCTTGACCCTCATTGGTATAATTAACTCAGGGTGGGCACATCCCGGCTGCCAAGTCACTTCCACCTGTCCATGGAGTTGACAGTTACTTGCTCACAGTGAACCAACCTCCGTGGACCTAACAGCTACTGCAGGAGGCAGTAGTGGAGAACAAGATGACAACAACCACCAGATGCGAAGTAGGAAGACACGCTCAGCGTTCTGACTGGGTGAATTGATGGTGTGGGGTTAAGTCTGCAGAGCTAAAGGGGCCAGATGTGGAAAAGGGAAGGGGAATCATGAGGATATGGTCAAGCCCCATCGTATGGATATTTCATCCATATGTTGTATACAAATTCCATTAAATTTGCTCTGAATGAAAAAGAGAGAAAAAAATTATCCTTTAAACCATGTCAGTGACTTTATTTACCATCTCATTTGATGAGCTCATAGTCCAGGTTCAGAGGGAAATGGGAGCTCTGAGTCTGCCATCTCTCAGGAAGTCTCAAGCTTCAGAGAACACTAATAGCCAAACTACCTCCCCTTTGCACTTTTCAAGCAACGTTATTCCTAAGTGCGAGTCACCCTCTTCGTCGGGTTCTCCAAGAAACAGCAATCTCTCCCAATGAGAGAGGAAAAATGGGCTACTTTGGCTTTTTGAGGCACAATATGTAGCTCTCCAAAATGGTACCTGCCTGGGGGATTTTTCAAGAAAATTAACCAGCAGTGGTGATTTGTTTGTCTTCACATAACATATGACCCAGATGTGCTGAGAAATAAGAAAAGGACGAACGAATCAAGGACAGCTGATACAAGGAGGCAAGGGGCAACTTCCACAGCCTCCGTGGAAAGCTACAGGAAGGGAACATCCAGCTGGTGGGAGCTGAAGACAGGGGCCAGTCCTCCTTGGGCTCGGGATGCCATCCTCTCTTCCTACATCTTCATGCTCTCCTTCTCTGTTGGCCCCTCCCAGCCAGATTAAAGAGCCACAAGGAAATGCCCTCCTCCATTCTATTCTCCTGTCATTCATCCACCCCTCCCTTCTTTCCCTTTGCAATCAGTTTCTTGACTTGCCCCCATTGCTCCCTTCTCTTCTACACTGCGATCTGGTTTCTGTCCCACTACTCTCATGAAACTGATCTCCTGAAGCCCCCGATGATTTCTCCGTTGACAAGTCCAGGGGACTACTTCTCAATCCTTATCTATGTGACCGCCAAGCCGAGCTAGATCTTAAACAACGTCTCTGTCTTGAAAATCTCTTCCCTTGTCTTCTGCGCCACCCAATCCTCCTGACAGTTTTCTGTCTCTCGGAACCCTCCCAGTGTCTTGCTGAGCTGATCTTCCTTGGGGTAATTCTTGGGGCTCTGTATTAGGCTCTCTGCTCTTCATCCTCTATGCCATCTCCCTGAAGGACCTCATCCTCTCCCTTAGTTTCAATTACCAGCTAAGTCTGTCTCCATCTAAGACCACTCTCTGCACCTTTCAATCAACATATGACTTCCTGTAAAACATCTCCATTTAAATGTCTCATAAGGCACCTCAAATCCAGCACGTCCATATTACTGAATGTCCACTCAGAAAAACATCCCGTTACAGGTAGTTCAATACGACAAATTTCATATGGTGATGAAACAGCTAAAAAGCCAAATGGGATGGTGAGACATCCCAGAGAGTCACAGCAGTAGAAAACACACCCACCCCACTGCTGGGCTGGGGGGCAAAGAAGGAAGTGGTGTTGCCACAGCTGCCAGGCAGGAGCTGGAGGCACAGAGGGAGTGGCTTCCTGGTGGGGCCGCCACTCAGAGCAAAGCGGCCACCAGGCCTGCTGCAGCTGCCCGAACAGAGAGTGGAAGGCGAGGGGAAAATACGTTGGCTTCTCCCATCCCCCGGCCCTCCAACCTCTGGCCAATGTTTTCCATTGGCTGAACGTACCTGGAAGAGTTGGCGAGGAGATCTGGGCGATGGGGTTTGCAGGATCAGCCCTGTGACACGGAACAGAGCAGTGGAAAGGCAGGGAGCCGGTCTGAGGCAAACAGGCAAATGGCAGCACAGTGTCCACTTCTCCCTACCTCCCCTGTCCCACTGAGTGGAACCATCTTCATGCGCGACTTTTCTCTTCCCTCATCTCCCACATCTACCCATCCATCCTCTAAGTAGCTCATCCATTCCTCTCTCTTCCTCACAGTCACCGCCATCACTGACTATCGTTACTGCAGCAAGCACCGCTCTGCCTTCTCCTGTCTCCAGACTCCCTCTTCTAACCAGTCACCACACTCCAGCCAGAAGGTTTTTCTCAAATGCGTATCTTACGTCACTCTGCCGCTTCAAGCCTTACAATGGCTGGCCCGTTGTGCTTAGGATCCAGTCCACATTCCATGGCAGGACTTCATCGCGTCTCCAGTCTCCCCTCCCCTGACATACTCCTCCACCCTCCACATTCCCACACCCTGAACCTCAGGCCCCTGAATTTCCTGAGGCACCTCTCAAGTCAGGGCCTTCACACATGCTATTCTCTGTCTTCACATAGCCCTCCCCTATCCTGCACCTCTTCTGAATTAACCCCTCTCGTGTTGGCCTCAATGGCAATGCTGCTAGGAAGACTTTCCTGGTCCTCCTCACCTGTGTTCCCTTGTACCCAACACTTTCCCCGGTGGTAGGGTTATCAGATTTAAGAAATAAACCATGCAAGTTTAACCGCGTGTCCTGTATTTTATCTGCAGCCCTACCTAACAGGCACTTGTCCCAGAGTATGACAATTGCATGTAGACATTTTAATTTCCCAACTAGCCTCCAAATCGCTTAAGGATAATGATCTTGTCAATACAATTCCCCATTTTGCTAACTAACTAGGTAAGGTTGGATGAATGGATCAGTGACTTGCGGATGGGAGTTTTACTTGAAATCGTATAGAACTAGACTTCAGCCCTAAACAGGAGAGACGCTTAAGAGACTAAAGGGAGGCTAATGACAATTACTCACCCAAGTGGAGGCTCCTAGGTTAGTTCTGGGCCAGCCTCTCAGGGTGTAAGAGAAGAACTTGGAGGTGGAAACTGTACACTAAAGGGAAATGACCAGAAGGTATGACTGGAAATGATTATTTAAAGCTTTCATCCTGCACAAAGCTAACACACTAACTTCAGCTGGTTTGGGGATTGCTCTGGCTCAGTTCTGAGTCCTTCACACAGCTGGAAAGTTTATGCTCCTGCTGCTGGGGTTAAAACAGTGGAAAAGGCCAGAAGGGTGATGCCAAGGATCATCGTACTCTTCTTACCTTGCGATGGTTTCCTAATAGAAAGCTTAAATCTAGCTATTTTCAGACCCGGTACCCAAGGGCAAGTACGTAACAAATATGAGAAAAGTGAGAAAGGTGGAAGAAAGGCAAATTAGAGCACACCATCTAAAGAGGCAGCCTCTACTGGCTTCAGACAAACCTCCGTGCTGAAATGCAGGCCCAAATTTTCTCCCCCTTCAAGAAAAGACAGGAATCAAGATGTTAAGGCTTCATCTCATGATTTTTTTTTAACGTGCCCATTAAGTCAATAAGTATTAAATGGTTGAAAAAGAACACAACTATAAGTTTATTACTCCGTGTGGGCTTCCAACACTCTACCGTGGAATCAACATGTGTCTCCAGGCTGAGATTCCCCTCAACTTGCAAACCTCAGGCAGATGCTGATTCAAATCCCGGAAGGCTCTAGTTGAAAATCAACGTCTGACATGCTCTGCGGAATCTAGGGAACCATTTGCTAATTTGCTCTGGGGCGAAATCTTCTATCAATATCAATCAGGCATGAATGTAGATAATTTTCCCATGCTATCAATATAGTCATCTATATGTTTAGTCAACATTTATTGAATATCACATAGGTAAGGTTTGGTGGTCAGTAAACAGTGGAGAGAGGCCCAGAAAAAAAGGGGGTACACTCAGGCTTGAAATCCAGCAGGTACACGCCTCTGCTACCATACCAGTTATTTATATACTTATCTTCTACTTCCATCCTAGTTGGTTAACAGTCTCTGCCCCAGCCCTAGCCCTGTGGGCCTCAGACGCCATCAGTGGGCCACTCATCTGTGGCCACCTACGGCAAGGT